AGTTGCAGAGAGAATTTTAGACACATTGTAGGTATTTTTATGATATTTTGTAATATCTAGTTATTTCCTACTCACTGTTTATCATTATGTCTTTTTATGGATATTAGAAGCGATTCTTGGAATAATCCAGCATTTGGAACAAATTTTGTGGATTCCCTAAATGAAGGTACTTATGTAACTAATGTGATAGTACCAGCCTTTCGAGCAACATTGAAGAATCTCCCTCTAGGAAAAACCACATTCGTTAGCAGTTCTGAATACCAAAGTAGTGCCAGTGCGGATAGAAAAGGTGATAGATGACCTGGGAGATGGCCAGATGTTATGTTTGTAATGAAATACAATGGAAAAAATTATGAACTTTTATTTACCGAGTGCTCATGTTTGTCATGTATAACGAAAAAAGAAAGAGATGATCAAGTGAAGTTGTGGCGTGAGATTAATGATGGTATGTACTGGACTCGTAAAAGTTGTAAGCCTGATAAGGATGAATTTGATATTATCAGAGTACAAATAGCTGGAAAAAAATTATGTTTGAGTGTTCTTATAAGGGATATGAGTGAGGTTCATCAATATTATCATCTTCATGAATTAGAAATTCCAGTTCAACTATCAGATCTATCCATTGTAGAAAAATTTGTAGAAACATTACTGATATTACGAAATATTCTGATCATTAATATGAGCATACTGTACAATGCACCTTTAAAAGATCAAATCGTAATGTAGAAAAAAGCTTTACAATTTCTTCACCTATGCGAGATAACTAGAATTCCTTAACATTTTTCATGTATTATTATTTTTCTGTATTAATAAAGGGATCCTGGTGGTCGATTTCGCAAATATACATTTATGTTTTTTCATATGAGAATAATAATTTCTTGGCAAAAGTGATCAGCGTGAAGAATCTTTACGCTTACATGATTTTTTTTTATTTTCTCAATTTGTATTATTTTTTATGTATTGTATCATATTACTATTAATAAAGTATATTTGTCTTAGCACTTCTAACGAGATATATATTTATTCGCGTGAAGCCAGAGGAGTGACGGTTGCTGACTTATGGTCAAATGTCACGTGAAATTCTTGATCAGAGTTAATTTTGTGCAGATTCAGAGCAGATCTTCTGAATTTTTTTCTTCAAAGCTGGAAAAAGAATAGTATGGAAACGTATATCGATTGTAAAGTCAATGGAAAAAAAACTAAAAACAGTCTCAAATATTATGAGAAATTCAAAGAACAGTTCTGGAAAATAAAGATTAGTTGATCAGAAAAAGGAAATATTTATGAGAAGATATACTAATCTTCTAATACTTTATTTCACTTTAGTGACTGACTATGATTGGCTCTGTGAAGAAAATATTGCAAGACATCAAATCCCACTACCACCACCATATGAAAATGGAGGTTCTACTTCACAAGTACTACCACTACACTTGTAATGATAGGAATAATTAATATCTAGCTATTAGTATTTTTCGCTCTAGTTATTTTATATTGTTAGAAATCATCCAATTCTTGTATAATGTGAATATAATTATAATAAAAACAATATCATCATTTTTGGAGAAAAATTAGCCGAGAGGCACTTTGCATGAAGTAGCTTGATTATTTTTTTCCTTGTGTTTCTGCCTCACCTCTATCTCTTTCTGCAAGTTTAGTAGAGTGTCAAACCTTAGGTGGATTGCAAGAGGATCATCTTCTGACCTAATGAGATCAAATACAATAAATTCTTTTTTTCGAAGGTAGCTATTAATGACCATTGAGGCATTTTTTACATCATCAGTATAACAACTGACTATTTTGACCAAATCTTTATTAAAAACATGCCTACAGAATGGACAGATAATCAACTTCATTTTCTAATATCGAATATAAGCAATTGTAACCAAAATGCGTGATCAGCAGATGTATATGACAAAATCACTTAAAGTGTCAATCAATGATGCTATGTCTGTAACACTTTCCCTAATGATGCCACCAAAATTGAGAAAAAAGAAAAAATCTTCAACAGGTAAGTGGATTTATTGTGAGCATTCTTTGTACATAGATATCCCGCTCACTCAGCAAAAAATAGCTCTTAAGGAAGACATTCAAGCTATCAATGTTGGTACAGGGTATAGAAAAGCCTAAAGAAATAGCATCGCCTTTCCCAAGGAAACCGTCTACAGGTAAAGTGAGTGTATTACGAATATTTTTTGTGAAGCAACTCATTTTTATCGACAAAATATTTTCTATGGAGGGTGTTGAGTCCACTGAAATTGCCCCATCTACGAAAGACAGAGAGGTTACTTCAACCACTCCAAGCATTGAAGAAATCAAGAATCGGAAGTGAGCCGATGTTATAAATTTTTTACAAGAGAAGAAAGAAGAGCTAGACATTGATGATAAGCACATTGAAGTCATCAAGGACCAGGAGGTCTTCGGTTCAAACTTTCTGCTCTTGTCTGAAGAGAAACTTAGAAGCATCGGAATGTCACTTAGATCAGCTACAAGAATTGCAGAATTTGCTAAAGAAATCTCTGGTAAAATCAAGGTAAGTAATAAGCAAATAATACTCCATTGATTATATAGATTGTCATGATAAAAACTTAGTAGTGTAAAAATTATCACAATGGAAAAGATTATATTTGATGAACTGTTTGATATATTGTTTGCGACGCTGACCAATTTTGGCTTTCCTTCTATCAGTGACTCTAAAGCATAGATATGAAGAATTACCAGAAGATTTAAGTAATATTATAAAAAATGCAGTACGTGAAGAATTCTTCTGGCAAAAACCTGATGTAATTTCAGTATCAAAGCTTTCTGAAACAATGATGAAAAAAATTATGGATGATATTGAAATAAAAACTGTAAAAGTAAATACTTTCTTTAGTATTATTTGGAGTGTTTCTTATCACTTATCATTTATCCATTTTAGTTATCAGTGAAAGACTTTCTACCGCTTTAACCTGTGTCATGCGAACCATTCAGATGAGATATAGAGAAGGAGAAAGCTCATTATATGCAAGATATTGAGAAATGGTTTAAGAATGTACTAATGCTACCAAGGAATTTTCACGTGAAAGATATTCACAAACAAGTAACCTATCAACGACATTTGTGAGATGCGAATACTATTATAACAGGTGGTGCCGATATATCTGTCGAACTAAGTGAGACAGCTTGCGTTTGAATTGAAACTAAAAAAACATTGGAGGATTTTAAAGAGGGTCAAGCAATGGGAGAGTTATTCTTAATAGATAAACTTCATCCTACAAATGCAATAACCGTCTTAACAGATTGTAATGATAATTGGATTATTTACTTCTTCCTGAAAATAAATGAAGAACAATACATGGCAACTTCTAGAATTGATGATCGTAGTACCGCCTTGGTGATAATTAAATAGTTTGTGCTTGAAGAAGAACAAAATTTTCACAATTGAATAGGAAAGAACATCACCTATCAGGTAGACTTGCCTGCATCTTTTAAAAAGAAATCAAAAGCATAACTGAAACAGTTGATGCCAGAATGGCAGACATGGTTAGTGACATGTCAGAACAGGAATTATACAACATGACGGCACGAAAAAGGTTAATGTTGGTAAGAGATTATTGTAGATTAGATGAACAACTACAAGTAGATCAACTTATTAGGCAGTTTAGTGATAATTATGAAAATCCACCACTGATGATGTTCGCTAATGCAAATATTTTAGACATTAATAAATAGTGACAGTTGGTATTAAGCATTTTTATCACGCAAATTTACATTTAATTCTTATAATGGCTTTTAGCACGAAAAAATAATGCGAAAAAATAATAAAGTTATACCTTTTTTTTTCACTAAGTCCTCTACTTAACAATATTTTTTCACATGTATTGGGTTGTGAGGCTATGCTAATCAGATCTGCCTTTCGGCTGAAATATTAGAACTGGTAGAGATCTTGATTTCATTACTAATCTTTGCAGAGGGTTTATCAAAGATAAGCATAATAGATCCATTGATCTTTATTGTAACTGTTTCTGCAAATATGTATTAATGATATTTTCTAGTCTTTTCTTTACAAGGTCCATAATTCGAAAAATTACGCAGGACCACCTTATATGGCCGAATAGACCAGATGTAAATTATATCATATCGTCATGCATTGCGCTTCTATTCTGATAAACTACCATCCCTTACAAGTATTTGAAAAAAGGTTAGTCATGCTAGGATGGTGGGATACGAAGCAAGAATCTGATTAGTATTATAATGGTTTTTCTCTAGCTTTGAGATACGTGATCGAGAATAGCCGTATGGTAGGGCCGTATGTTGTGTTTATAATAAATCTTGCCAATCTAATGATCAGTTTGCCATTTAATTGAAATTCAGGAATGATATGTCATTATTGATTCATTGTGGAATTAATCTAACCAAAACATAAGTATAAGAGGTTTACCATGGTTAATAATTTCTGCAACTAATACTAATGATTTTTTTTTACAGAATATCAATTGACCAGATTTCCATAATGCAATCATACTTACGTGATTCCAATGGACGATTAATTCAATTCCTGGATCATGAGCGTAACTGTAAGGTAAGTAAAGTTAGTATTAGTATTCATGCTTCGATTTCATGTATCAACGCTAATCAAACTTACCTTTCAGATTTTTTTAGCGAATTTCTCTCAATCATCATGGGATACTGGAATATGTGATGCAAAAATACTCTCTGAACCGATTTACCAAATTATTTGCATCATGACCGTAATATAGCATTTTTTCCTGCAAATGCTAATCCATATGTGAAGGGTCGTTGATCCAGATTTTCATGATGTGATCAAACTTACCGATTCCAAGATCATGCGGTGTATATCACTACAAAACATATTAAAAGGAGGTGAGTTTTACCAGTTGATACTTTTATCCACTCTATTTAAATCAAATGAAGCTAATCAATAAATTTATATTTACCTTTACACTCATCATAAAATTGCTATACGAGAATAAGTCTAAAAACAAAAGTAGGTTAATTAGTAATGATTGGATAGATTCTCATCATGTTGCTAATTGTCTGCCTTGATTGCTGGGTCATTTATACTACCAAATTCACTGCCGGAATCTAAAAAAGATTTGAAAATAGTTAAGTCATTTATATTAGCATTTAGATATTGTAAAGATGATAACCACTCATCTGATTCTTTCGATTCCTTCTCCTGAGCCTTTCGAGACAAGCATATTTTTTATATTGGTGGTGAGAGCTTAGACAATAGCTGATCGTACATTTCAGGTTGGCTAGATTTTAGGGTGAGATTATATTAGTATCACTGGCCAATTTATCATTCACTGATACATTTTTTTTTTCTGATGCATAACACCAATCATTATCTGCTTTGTTATAACTATCCCCATCATTTTTCTCACCATCTGAATTAGGAGAAACTATTGGTATAAGAGGCGTAAAATAAGACTGAGTGAAATTAGATTGAGCTATCTGTCTATTTAGACAACTTCCTTTGCTATGATCAGTTTTTTCACAAATTTCACATTTTTGTATGTATGCTTTTTTCTGAAATAGATCAGTTAACTGATTTACATTATTTCAAGTTTCCTTAAGTCCTTCTTCAATCCTATCAAATCTAGCAGAATTATTGTTTTGCTATAAACGAGGTTTTTGAAAAGGCTTTACAGGATAATCAGAGTCTAAATCTTCCTTATTAAGTAGACCTACTTTTTTTAAGTATTTGGCTATATAATAATTCTTAAGACCTTCTCCTGTTTTCAATGTAGATGGTAGACCTTTTGGCTGTCTAATCAGTTCAACAGTTTGTGGGGTAGTTACTTGCTGAGCCATTTGCGATTGAAAATCAGATTTTTGCTCTTTTAATAAAGACTGGTATTCAGTATTTTGCTGTGCCAGTGCATTTTGAATTGCTTTTTACATATCTGCTAAGGAAATTCCTTGCTGTTGAGATACGTTATTGAAAATAGCAGAAGGGGCTGGTGTAAAGATATCATTTAATATATCACGTCTTACTCCAAACATAAAACATGTTTTCTTTTAGTCAGGAATACAACCCAATTGATCTCCATACTTTTGAATTTTTGTCCAAAAAGATGTTACACTTTCATGTGTTCCTTGTTTTAATGTTTCAATTTCAAGCATTCTTAAATACTTATCAGCAGATGGAAAGTGTTTTTTAATTCAATGTAACCTTTGTCCAGATCGAATTCTTGCAAGAATAATAGGAACACCACCTCCAGCATTTACCGCAAATGGTCCTGCATTAGTTGATAGTCCTCCAGCTATTATCTAATCTTCATCAAGTCCTTGAGCTAGAATAATGTCTGCACCTGCTAGGCCTAGTAGGATATTTGGAAAAGATGCGACCGCTCCTGTTATAGCTCCTGCATTAGTATCATGAATGGGTCCAATAGTAGCACCTATGGCAGAATTATCTAACACATTCTGTAATTCCCAGTTTTTATTATCAAACTCTCTACGATACCATTCTCGCACTTCTCCCTTTACTGATCAGTCCAGTATATTGCGAATTCTTGCTTTATCATTTATATTTGCTAAATTGATGTATGCTATAAAATCATCTACATACTTTTCATGATCTTGTTTGAAGCTACATAATTCAGGCAATACAAACCCTATAGGTAAAGCCATGTTTATTAGATTTGGTGAGTTATTCTGTAGCACTAAAATTTGTCCCTGCAAATTTAAAATATTCTGGCGAGAATTTTTTTCTTTAGTCTTTCATTTCTTATATCGCTTATAGAGCCTATTTCGATTATATTTTAACAGACCTATATCTCCTCTACTTCGCTGTAGGTGGTGGGCATTTCGCTGATATAATAATTGTAAAACAAATTTTTCTTGTACCAGTTCACCTATACAGGTTTGCTTTTTTGCTATATTACCTATCATTCTATTTCTTTGGTTTTAAGCATTAGTTTGATATTGATAGAGATTACTAACAACTGTGGCTATCCCTCCTTCAACAAGTTACCTTCGTATAATTTTATTGTCATGCTCTGCCTCTGTATCATAATGCCTTCATTGCTCACAGACTAAATCCTGATGCAAATTATTCTCTTTTCAGCGAATTTGCCTTGTTGCCCTTTTTATTTGATCTATTAGAACATCTCTAGCTGTTGTCCTATTATTCACATAACCATCTATAGCATTTGCTAGCTCTATGATTATTGTCATATTATCAGAATTATACAAGTCTGGAGAATTATCTCATTTGTGTGAATTTTTTCGTGATGAGATGGTTCTAATCTGGCATCGCAAATTTTCTACCTACTCCTCAGATTCTACTAACTGCTTTTCTAAACTAGAGATATATTGTTCCTTATCTTACACATCTTTCTTAGCTTGATATAGCTGACTTTTTAAACTGGAGATTTCAGATCTTAGCTCTGCTATCTCTTCTTCTGAAGCATTCTCAAGACGCTCTATGTCTATATTGAGACCTTGGATTTCCTGCTCACACTGGCTATATTCACGCTCTAATTGATTGAACCATTTTTCATTTAGGCGATTATTTTCTACTTCTGTCTGTAATGCATCTCGAAGATGATAGTTATCCTTCTCCAACTCAGCTTTATACTCTTCACATGTTTTTCTCTGCCTTGGATGAGGTCTGTGAAATGTCATTCTTTTTTCATTATTATAAAAGAGATTTGGAATGGGAGAACCCTTGATTTATATCGATCCTCAAAAAGCGTATGATCTTAATTGAAATCTTGTCTTACAGAAGGTGTATTATCAACCTGAAAGCCTTTACCAAAGAATTAAGGAATTATGGGATGCTTGTAAAAAAGCTGACTACAGCTTTCCATTTACTAATGTAAAAAAATGACTTGATAAGCAGGCAATATATCAAATTTTTCATCCTTCACCAAAGCATGTACCTTATGCCAACTACTCTAAAATTATGAAACTGAATTCTGTATATCAGTGTGATTTAATTGAAATACCATATGATAAAGATGTAGATATAAATTTACTAGATAATGGGCCAATATATTACTATGTACTATTGGTTATAGACTGCGCAATTAGATATAAAGATTTCATTTTTTTAACGTCAAAAAGTAGTGAAGAAGTTGCGAAAGCTTTTAAGAGTATATATGATAACCTTAACAATTCCCTTAACTGGCCTTGAAAACTACAATGTGATAAGGGCACTGGGTTTATAGGATACATGACTTTATTAATGAATGAGCATGATGTTAAAATCCGAAGGATTATAACACGTTTCAGTCATACAAGCATGGCTATGGTTGATTATTATACAGCATAATGGACATTCATTATATTACGAGGTGATAAAATCAAATGTCAATCTTTTTTATATTGTGTAACATTTGATGTTAATCGATTTAAAGTAATAAAAAAAGATGTGATATTTTTCAAAAACTAATTTATCATTACGCAGTTTTTTTTCATTAATATGTCGTTCGTTCCTTTCTTTACATTTGGGTAAAAAAAGATCATGAAGATCTCTGTAATAGCTAAACTTAGATGAGAGCTGAAGTTTTAAGGTTTTATTAATTAATATATATATAGTAAAATATATTTTACCAAGTTTTTATAAATTCTAA